ATTGACAGAAGCATACCTGGTGTGCAGGGCTTCAGAATACACTTGCTTATTCAGCCCCAAGAAACCCATTGAATTGCGTGCAGACCGGACTTTCATTTTCCAGTGAAGTGTTTCTGGGAACTGAGAGGGAGGAAGGAGCTGGCCCCTCGCCAACAGAGAGCTTGCACACCACTGCGTTCATGCTGCGCCAAGGTAAAGCAAGCACTTCGGCCTTCCGGTTTTTGGTGCCAAGATAATTGCATGGGGGGGGGGGGGTGTTACAAGTTCTAAAGAACCCCCCCATCCCATTTCCATTAGGTATCTTCAATTAAAAAAGCACCACATTCTCTGTAAAAGCACCTAACCATTGGGGGGAGGAGGGGGAGAGTAGCTTTACCAAATGTTCCAGAATCGTAAAATTAAGGAAAGAAGCTTTCAGAGCGAATGCCCTGCCAGCCGTTCTCTCAGCGCTTCGTCCATCTACCTGAAATGGTGGAAACTCGGTTTAGAAAAGCCCATGCATGGACAGGAAAATGGCAATAAAAATCTCATCAGCATCTGTCTTCTGCATGGACAGTTCAAAAGGCACGATTTATATTTTTTTTATAGAAGATGTGAAGTATTTTACTTTTTACATTACTGAATATGGGGCTCTCTCAATGTTAAATGATCTGGAAAACTCACACGAACAAGTTCTCTAGAGGTGGGTGGGTTTTTTTGTTTTTTAAATTCTAGCCAGGCTGGAAATAGTCAGAGGAAAATCGCAAGCCATGTTGGCTCCTTCCGTATGGCTAGCATAAAAAGCTAACCAAAGCAGATTTATAAAAGTGAAAAAATAAAAGTTAGAAAAATGTATTGAATATTAGAATAATGTGGCTTGGTTCAAAACTGTGCCTAACACTTGTTTTAACCAAATTATTCCCAATGAGTTTGAAGATACAGCACAGTAGCATGTAGTGCATCAGTCTAGATATTCCTAGAATATGAACTTTTGACCTTGACACTTAGATGTAGCTTGTCTGCTTTGAGAACACCTGTCACCCATGTGTCACAACTCATCAATGAAGTAATAGCGGTGGCACTCTGAAAGATTCTTGTTGTGGACAAGTGTCACCCAAGGGAAGGAGACTTATTTCAGATCAATTTACAGAGGTGTTGCAATGTAAGTTAAAACATCACTCATTCTTTAAGTATCTTTTCAGTTGTCATGGCTTGACAACCATGTGGGTGTAAGTCACTTTTTCAGGGTACTGTTTTGTAACACTGCATGAAACCTAATGTATCTGTATAGTTCTAAAATAGTTCTTAAACCCATAAAGCCTCTCATTTCCGTGCTGTGTATCAGGACCTCCAAATGTTTAATGTATTTTATCCTCAAACCACCCAGTGAAGTAGAGCAGTGCCATTATGCCCATTTTACAGATGGGAGGGAACTAAACCCACAGTGTATGAGATTTTTCCCACCATCACACAGGAATTTAACCTGACTCTCAGGGTTCTATGCTAGTACTCTAGCCACTCCATCATCTTTCCCTGTTTCATCCCCATACTCAGCGTCCAACCCTTCGCTTTAGAGTCAGCTCTGTACAGGCTGACCTGATGCACTGCACAAAGCTATTTGGAGCTTTGGGTGTGTAGTATTCAATTCAACACGGTTTCAGCTCCCTTGTTAGCAGTCAATAACCCATCCATGTCTTTGCAAAATTACGAGTTCAACTGTGAGAACAGCAAGAGTATGAAAACATTTAGAAGGAATTGCACTGACATCAAATCCACATAATTTATTTATTGGATTTAAAAATTGAAAAAACACGCTGCTGGGACAGAAGTCTTAAAAAAAACCATACACGTCATTTAAGTAGAAATTGGTCATTACTGTGCCAGCCCGCATCCAGCAACCAAGCTTTACAGAACATTACAGAATACACATTATAGGAAAAAAATACTTATAAAAGGAAGTTGTAGCCTATAAACGGAGTCCTCCTAATTAATGAGCGATTTGAAAGAATTACGTTGGTGTACAAGTGCAGCAATGTGTTTAATATAAGAAAGAGCAATTTGGGATTAAGTGTTGCATTAGGAACAGCTGTCATGCAGGTTAAAGTTGATTATCAGCCAAACACACTCTTGGACGGCTCTTCTTTAGGCTTCGAAAAGACTGTTTCTCCTCCAGTCCGATCTTGACTAAATACGGAAGGTGCCACGGAGCCCTCTTGTTCTTGAAAAAAGAGCCAAAGGAGCCAATCAGTTTAAAAGATTTAGACCAGCAACAGCTGTGCTGCTGGAACACATACACTTTTTCTATGATGAAGTGCATGGACATGAAATACATCACCCCCTTGAAGTGCATGGACACTCAGGAGCTGTCAAGTGTATCCAGTGGTACAAAAAGTGTGGGTTCGCAGCGCACAGGGCTACACTGCTGAACGCTCCGGATTAAGGGGTGGGCTAGGCAGGCAGCTGCCCAGGGTGCCAACCTATGGGGGGGGGGGGCGCTAAAACACACCCCGGTTCACCTGCGGGCGCCGCTAGGGCGGCGGCTGCTTTGCCCGGCTGCATCCTGCCCGCAGCTCCTGCGCTGAGACTCGGCGGCTCCTGCCGTGGAAGGGGCGGTGAGTTAAAGGCGAGGGCGTTGCCTCCGGAGCCTGTTTTCGTTCGGCCGAAAGAAAGCGAGTCCGCGGGCGGCCGGCGAGGCTCGGGAAGCAGCGGCGCTGGGCTCTCCCGTGTGCGAAAGCCGCCGCACGGAGCACCCAAGAGGGGGTGCCCAGAACCGGGGCTGCGCAGTCCGCGACCCCGCACCCAGAGCCCACCGCTGCTCGGGAAACCCTTCCTCTTTACCCCAGCCCAGCTGGAGTGTGGTGCAGCCCCCCCGGGCTGAGCGCAGGGGAGCTGGGCTGAAGCAAAGAGGCGAGGCTGCCCGGCCAGTGGTTTTAAGCCAATGTGCACCGCACTCCACGTGGGCTGGAGCAGAGGGGAAGCTGCCTGGTCAGCTGGCCGCGGGGTTCTGCAGAGGCCGCGCTCCAGCCGATGGGGGGGCTTTCCCTCTGTTCCAGCCCACGTGGAGCACCTGGGCTGAGCACCATGGCCAGCTGGCCGGGCAGCTGCTCCTTTTCGCTCTAGCGCGGCTGCGCCTCGCTCCAGCAGGGCTGGAGGAAAAAGGAAGGGCTTCCCAGCCAGCAGGAGAGCGGCACAGCCTCCCGGGGCTGAGCACAGGGGAGCTGGGCTGGAGGAAAGGGGAGGGCTGCCTGGCCAGCTGGCCATGGTGTTCAGCCTAGGTGCACCCTTCTCTGCGGGAGAGGGGAGTTGGCCCCAGAGGAGGTACTCGCTGGGCCTTCCCTGCGCCATGGGGGGAGTGGGGAAAAGTCCTGGGAGGAGGCAGGTGCAGGGGACTCCCTGCTCCCACTGGCACCTTGCCCCCTGTTGCAGAACCCTGTCCCCACTCCCCCACTGGCTCCCTGTCCCCTACTGCAGAGCCCTGTCCCCTCCCCAAAGCCCAGAACCCTGTCCCTTGCCCGCACCAACACCCTGTATCTGTTGGAAGGGGTGCCAAATTATTAGCCTGCCCGGGGCACCCACGTCTCAGTCCAGCCCTGACTCTAGTGTAGAGCCATTGTTCTGCATAATGTTGCAGACGCTTGGCAACAGTGCAGCCCAATTCTGAGACATCTTGGTCACCCCTTAAACTTGTCTCTCTGAGGAGAGAATCCACTGGAAGCTTTCAAAGGCGAGTTTTCCATTTGGAATTCCGGATTGATAAGACTCACATTTACACCTCAGCTTTCCTCATGATTCTTCCAACCCCCCAATCCTAAGAGTCGCACATGAACACTGAGCGAGAGATTTCAATCAATAAAACATTTTTCTTCTTTCTCCCTCCTTATGTCCTGTATGTAGTCCCAAGCATAGCTAATATATTGCCCTGACATAGCAGGTATTTCCCAACATAGGACCAAATGCTTTAGTCCTGACTCATTTTTAAACTCAGTGCTTATTCAAGCAAGAGCTCCTGCCACTAATTAGGGAGTAAGAACTTGGTTTAACCCATGTTCCAGAAGTCTAATCCACCGCAGTCCTTCCCACCCTGCAATGCTCAATTGGTATGGTCCGGAGACAGAGGCTCACTTTGCCTTTCACCTATCAGCACCAGCTAGTGAGAATCTAATAGGCATAAGAATGAGATTAATTCCTGCCCTTGTTCTTGGATGATACACAAAACGAGGAGAAAAAACACATGAGCCTGGATTACATCAGAGGGTTCTGCCAGGCTTCCATTGAGGTGCCTTAACTCTCAAACTATGCTCCTTGGAAACATGAATTTGCTCCATTGATTATTACAAAAATGTCTGTTTGCTGTACTCAAATGTAGGTTGCGTGATTGGAACTAGTTTGGCTGTGCAAGTGTTACTGTGGAGATTGCACAGTATACAGATATGAGCTTTACCACATTGCTTCATGACTTGGTATGTTTTGGATTTAACTTGCTGATTTTTGGAGAGCTTTCCTCTGGCCCCTTTGAGATCTTCTTCCTTCACTGGGGGACGCTTCTTTTTCACAGGGGCTGCCTAAAAATGTTGACATATGGGGAGACGTCAGTATCTCACAGTACAGAACATGTAGGAGACAAACATATCAAAGTGTTACCTAACACTTACTCTAGATTTCATCTATACCTAAACTATATTGTACACATTAATGAGCTGTGGCCATGTGTAGCACATACAGCTAGCAGCAGCTACATTATAGAACACATGGCCCAAAAGAAAAAAATTACCAATCAAAACAATTAGCTCCTGAACTAGCTATTGAAAACACTTTCCCTGGTAACCCGAGAACCAGTGACCTCAGGTTCTCTAATGATCTTGAGACACCTTTTTAGAAAGATGGAGTGGAAGTGGCTTATAATCATAGCTATGAAATGTTGCCTTTTTCCTAAAGACCAAAAAGGGACTTATAGCTAAGGAATCTAAGTCTAAGTTCGGGAAGAAAAGAAAAGAAATACAGGCGGTTACGTACGAGATAGGGACTGTAGGTTTGTTCTTAAGTTGAATTTGTATGTAAGTCGGAACTGGTACATATTGTAGGGGAAACTCTAGCCAAACATTTCTCCAGAGCTCAGTTTTATTCTCCCACACCTCACTTCCCTCAGTCCTTTATTCTCAAGCTGAGGTGTCTGCTGAGAAAAGCCGTTCCGCGTCTCCCTGGTCTGCTGGGGGGGGGAGGGGGGACTCTAGCTTTGCGTCTCCCTGGTCTGCTGGGGGGAAGCAGCTAGTGCGGGGTTGCCTCACCCCGTTTGTAAGTAGGGATCCGATGTAAGTCGGATCCATGTAACCCAGGGACTGCCTGTAGAGGAATCTAGAACTCAGCTTACAAATATGAAGACATGTCCATTAATCTCTTATGCCGAAGGAAAGACATCCAGGAGTGTAGATTCAAACCACTGTGGGTAAAATCTGATGTCGGCATCAGATTGTGGGGATGTTTTCACTGAAGAATTAACTCAGGTGATCAGCAACCAGTTTAGTCTAGAGTAGCTGTGAAAACTGAGTTAGTGTCTTTCCACTGATGCTGCACTTTCTTGAATACAGTATGTTGCTAGTGCTTTAAGGGCCATCTCAAATAGTTCTTTGCACTGCAGTAAACTGGGAGAACCTGTCTGTCTTTTTGATCACATGGGGGAAACTGTGGGAAGGCAGTAGAATACTACCAACCACTCCATTGATTTAGTCTGTGTCATTGCAAAGTGGGTGGTTTACCAACAAAATCCTCATTGGGGTTTTAGCCTGCAGTCCAAGATGGGGCAGCTAACCTGGGTTGAAAGCACCACTAAAACTTGGGTCAGATTTGTGTGTAGAGATTAGGGGCAGCACCGAGAGGCTGGGATAACTCCACGTGAAGAACACAGCCTGAGTCTAAACTTGCTAAGTGTTCATTATTTAATTTCTCCAGAATTGTTTTATGCATCTTTCCCTTTGTGAATCACAACATTTAATATTTGGAGAAAAATTCTGGTTGGACTTCTTTGATCCAGATTAAATATTTATTCATACAATTATCAGTCTTGTTGGTAACTGGATGAAAAAGGTATTTTCTTTCTGGCCTGACCAGAAAGTTTGCATAATTTAGTCGTGCAAACCCAGAACTCAGGGCATTGACTACAGATTCTGAGCATATTTACATGACATGATTCATAATCTGGAATGAATAAATGTTTCAGAAAATCTCAAGCCCTCCATTGAAACAGATGTAACTGAGGGCTGCCATTTACCATATTTTTATAAGTACTGCATGTTGTACAGCTCCAATTTTTGCACCTAGACTTCTTCCAGCCAATGGGCATGGTAATAGCTGAATGCATGCCCGTCCAAAGGAAGTCATATGAGACAACATCTGTGTTGTCAAGTGGTGTTACACACACCATTCTGAAAGTCTTGCCTTAAGGGTGTTATTTCAAGGAAACGACAAACATGGAGTCACCTCTCCTAATGCATAGGTATACAATTTGATTAGTCTGACCCCATCCTCACAAGAGAAGTAACTGAAGAATTAAAAATAGGAGCCAGAGTGTTTGATTTTTGAGCACCAAGAGGCTGGCTCTCTATAGCTAGATTCTCTTTCCTTGTGTTAACCTAGCTGGTCATTGCTACTGACTGCAAAGGACTTATCTTGGTAGAAGGAGCACAGTGGAAGAATTTCTAGAGACCAAAGGGGAAAAAATCCCACCATATAAACTCAGTGGAATGGAGTCTCTTGACCCCAAGCGTGAGAATGAGTTCAGCAGTCTGTTTTAAGTAGTGACTATGGTTATACTGGAGGCTCTTGCATGTTTTCTCTTGGGTACAAACACAGCAGAATGCCCCTGCATAGCTCATCATCAAGGTCACTGAAATTTAGTGTGGGAACCAAAGCGTTCTTGAGGCCACTGGGGAAAGTGTTCTATATCCGGCCAAAGAAAGCAAAGGCAAACAAAGCTGAAAAAGAAGCCTTTTTAACAGAGTTTCTCAGCAAGTGGTTAGTGCCATTTCTTAACTGATTATTCAAGAGATAGGCTAAGTACCTACTATATGGCATATGCGTCACATGTATGTCACTACAGGTTGAACTTCTCTAATCCAGCACCCTCAGGCTATGACTGGTGCTGAACCAGAAAATTTGCCAGACCATGGGAGGTCGGTATTGTCTAGCAGCATTACAACACTTCCAGTGCTTACTGGGCCCTTAAAAGACATTTAGGTGTAAATCTGAGCTACACAACAGCACAGAACACTCAGAGCCAGGACTGGTGGCTGAGTATAAACTAACTTTTTGAGCTGCAGGAAAGTTGGCCACACCATTGAAAAGTGGCCACCCAGCTAACTAAAATGCTGGACCATGGATATTGCCGGAGCAGAGAGGTTCAACCTGTACTGTATTTAGCAGTCAGTATGAATTATTCATATACTTTGCACTCCCACAACTGGGCAATCAAAAGAGTTATTTTTAGCAGGTGGCAGGTTCTAAACCATAACAGGGAAAAACTGGTTTCATGAGCATGAAACCTGTAGAATCGCATCTTAGAGATCTAAACCATAACAGGGAAAAACTGGTTTCACGAGCATGAAACCTGTAGAATCGCATCAGAGGCCAGATACCAGGATTTCTTAACTTACCATGGCAGAAAGCATTCCGGCTTTGCTTTTATTGTAAAAAATGCTGTGGTGACACAGCAAAGTGACAAGTGCACATTAGCTATCCTGCTGCAAACCCTAGTGGAACAAGGCACCTGTAGTTTTTACTGTGTGGTAGGTTGGTAAAGCCTGCTCTATTGCACCTAGGTCCCCACCTTTCCCCCCCGGTGGTTGACCTCATGGTAAAAACTACAGTGACTTGTCTGTAATAGGAATTTACAGCAGGGGAGCTCAAGAGCATTGGTTATCTTGCAGTAAACACACCTTTTTTGGCAGTGGAGACAGCCTAAGAAAAGAAGCTTCAGGGCTGCTGGCACTCCGGTTATTATTAAGACTGGCATAGAGCTGAACTATTTTCAATTGCTTGCCAGTCACAAGAGACAGGATTGTAGCCAGAAACTATTCCTGGGGGGACAACAATCCAGTCTGGGTTTATCTCCAATTGTCAGTAGCATAAAGTGTTAGTTTACAAGATCTGCAACATTGCCTTCAAGTCTGTTTCGCTTGGAACCAAGAAAGTAAGCAGAACTGAATTCTTCCCTAACAGGATTCTTCTCTAGCCTTGCAGTATTGCTCCTATAAAGCTTTCTTACCATCTCAGCTCTGCCACAAAACTCTCCCCATTAGGAAAACAGTGTGCCTGGATACATTCTTTGGGTTCTTTATGCATTCATAGCAATCTTGAAATTGAGCCACTCTTTGATATACTTTAAAATGCACAGAGGGAGTCTGAGAAAGATTTTAACGACTGGTTACATGGCACATTTGATAACTCACTGCCTTTCTCTATTTTGTTATATAATGAAGTCTTATTTTACACAGAGAACAATACACTTCAAGGAAATCATCTACTCAAGGAGATGGAGCAAAAACAAAAAGTTAAACTTACAAACTAAAATCCCATATTTTACCCCATAATCCATATAATTTTTTAACATAGCCTTTGGGATTAGCCTAAAAGAAAGCAGGAATCATTTCTATGTTTAAATTTATCACCATAGCTGTATACACTAGAGAAAAACATCTTTCCTTTCCAACAAATACGGAAAAGTATACTTTTTAACACTAAAAGGTATAGTTTACATGGTGATGTTAATTTGCTGTCACGCCAGGACAAGAGAAATTGCTTTTTGGTCACCAGCAAAATAATTGATCAAAAAATACTTTCATTGCTAAACTCTTTCATAAAGTTTGGCTAGAAAAAAGCTTCCAAAATAGCTAACTAAACAGCAAACTGATTATTTGAGAACATTTTTATTAACACAAGAATTAATAAAGCAGATGTTGTCAATAAACTGTTTAAGCAGAAGAACCATTAAATAGTGCAACACGCCAGACGACATAATACCATTCCATACCTGGGACATGGCTGGGATGCTTACTCAATATTAGTCCTCTCGGAAGCAGTTTTTCACTTGGATCAGCTCCGAGTCCACTCCGCAGCAGCCTGATTTTTCCTTGACTTATATAGACCATTTAATGTGAAGTCATTAGCTGGGTCATTTTCCCAAACCAGATCCCAGAATGATTCAGGTTGACACAGGCTGCTGTTTTGAAAGGTTTATTCTTAGAAATGACTGGGGTTTGTAGAATTTACTGACTTGCGAGGCTGGAGCTGAATGAAGTTCAGAACTGACAAGAGGAGACAGCTGTGGTAGTGAAACTGAATGGATGGAAGTTCAGTCCACCCTCCTGTAACAAACAGTTCTTCCAGCGGAACATGCTGGGGCTCTATTTATAACTTTAAAAGGCAATGCTTTGTCAGAAACTCTTCTCTAACTCTGAGTGAGTCTGGTTGAAAGGCTGAAACAAATTTGGAGGGGGTCTGGGTTTTACTGTCCCAGTATTACTATAATATGCTATAAATCTACAATTACAAATATGACAATGTCAAATGC